GGAGGCTTACTGGAGGCTTCCAGGCTTCCCAGTCTTTCACACAAAGTATGGCCACAGCAAAGGAAATGGCAATATGTAATGATATAATTTGCACCCGAGCCTGAACCCAAGAATGTTACATTTGATGATCTGTTTCATTCCTACGTCCCGGAAAATTGTGGATAACCTACAAGACCCATTTACTGCTAGCAAGTCGATATTAAAGTCTCCAACCACAATTACTTCGTTATACTTGCTTGTAGAAATGTCCATTAATTCGTCAAGAAACTTACAGAAAACAGGACTTGAGTTCAGCAGGCGGTAAATAACAATGAATAAAATTTTTGGTCCCGATTGATGTTGTTTTATTTCCAGGCAGAGATGTTCGAGTTCAATGGATGAATCCAGCAACCGAACCCGACGACAAAGGAGAGTATTGTTGACATACACAGCAACCCCACCACCTCTTTTTGAGTCACTCCGATCACAGCGGTGAATCTGATAATTCATCGAAGCAATTGCGCAGTCACTCCAAGTAGAATTAAGCCAAGTTTCGCTCATTGCAAAGACATCAAAATCATTAAGGTTCATCAGAGTTTTTACCTCTTCAAGGTGGCAAGGAAGAGATCTGACATTTAGGTGACAGACTTCGATTTTTTTTTTATATAGCCCACAATGTAAACTACTGGGTTACCAGTAATTGTGTCAGCTATTTAAATGTTGTATTTAGTTATTTAATGTTCGAAATTTTGCCGACACTATATATTAGACAACCCATAACGGAAATGTTAATTTCTTTTTTTTTATTCTATTTTGGGGGGTAGTCCTTAGAGGGGTCCATAGGGGTAGTCTGTGGACCAGTCCATGGGTAGTCTGTGGACCCGGTCCATAGTGGGGGTCCGCGGACTGGGGGTCAGTGTTTTTCGGGTTACCCCAGATGCACTTATAAGCTTTTTGACTGAGAGGGCCAGATGGCAAAATATTGAGCTCGAGGTCAGGATGCACAGACCAAGTACAGCGAGGTAGATGCATCGCGGCTGAGAAACAATTTCTTCACAGATCTGGCGTGACATGAATGAATATTATTGGTCAATAAGCATTTTTCAGTCCACATTTTGTTACAAGTAATATTATTAATATTTAAAGTTTGTGGTGAATATTGTACACCCTATGCATTAAATGTATTGTGCGGTTCCAGGAAATATCCATACCCCCCCACAGAGGGTCACGGAAATTCCAAGGGGTAGGGGTGTCTGAAATAGGTAAATTTCCGAAGGGGAGGGGGGCTACTCAAAGAGTTTTCTTTCCAATTGGTGTGAAATGCAATTGAATGAACACTATTGTACTTTCCCAATCGATTCAGGTAACCAAACCAACAGAAATGTTCCATCTGTTGAAACAAACGTTAGATTCTTTGTCATAAATAATTTTTCCATTTTTCTTTCAACGTTGTATGACAGACGGCAATCCTGAGCAGCGTGTTTGTTGGACAAAAAGGTGCAGCAATACATGAACAATGATGATATTTTATACTTTGAAGATCATGCTGTATTTAGCTTAAACACAACTCAGATGCTTTTTTCCAGCATTAATCATGCTGTCAATTAAATGAGATTTGTTCTTTGTTTATTTTGTTTGATACTCATACAAAATTATTCCCCATTTCGGACTTGCCGTGACTAGGTTATCGCATATTTTCATTGTTATCCGTATTTTCATTGTTATCAACATATAGTTTGCTTAAGTGAGCAAAGTCGATTCAAAGCCATTTCTCTTGAACTATATGTAACCGTGGACAGTGAGGAGCGTTGCAGCGGTAGTCAAGATTTCATTTGGTCATTTATAGAACAACTGAACAATGCGTGTTTCACATATGAAATGTATGACAAATTAAAAAAAAAATAAGGCACAAAATGAATTTACTATTATTTACAAACTACAGAGACAAAGCGCATGACTTAATTGATGTATTCCTTTGATGAAAGAAAAAATAAAGCAACATTTGGGAAACAGCTGTTCTGAAAAAAGTGTTGCGTGACGACTTTATGTCAATTTGTTGTTTTGACCATGCATAAATTAAACTTGGACTGGGTTATTTGAAAAAGCTTTATGTACATTTCGAGATTCTTGTATGTTCTTTTAATGAAGAAAAAGTCAGCTGCTATGCCATTTGGGAGTGAAATGCTTCTAAGTCAGTTACAAGTTTATTAGTTCAAACACCAGCTCAAACATTTTAACATGACATGAAGGAACGCACGGCGTCTGCAGTCTACCATGAAAAAGTAGGTCATCGTCTACAATGTAACTATAAACAGCTGGAGCTGAATTTTATTACAATTAATGAGTTAAGTCTTGTTATTTATGGATACGGAATTTCCTAGGGGTAGTGGGGGCCTAAGTAGAAAAATCATGGAAATTCCAGGGGCTGGGGGGAGTACTGTGAAGCCCCCTGGAATGGAAAATCCTTAGGGGTGGGGAGTCATACTGGAAAAACCCTCCGTGGGGGAGTATGAATATTTTCCGGATCCACACATTGTTGATGTGTGACAGGGTCAGATGGCTTTCTTCATATCGCTCATTTCATATTGGTCCATGCGCTTGGTACAGATGATCTGACTCCAAACTTCAGCTCACATTAAGTTTTTCTTTAGGACTGTAATATGCAGTTCCAGAAAATATCCATGCTTCTATTTTTCTATTCTCTTAGGGCATTGAGGCAATTGAAACTGCATTCTGTGGGTAGGATATTAATTGTATTTATTTGTGATTTTTTTGTAAGAGCTTAAATATATATGGTGCAGAAAAAACATTAGATTTATCCATTTTGAACATTTTGTGTGCTTTATATGGCCAAATAGAGGTACCAGTAAATAAGTAATAAATCTAAACTTACAGGTGTCTAATATATTTACTTCACAAGGATGATTGTGCACAATGAAGATCAAGATATTAAGGATCTTTTCCAAAAGGTTTTTAAGCCTTTCTGGGTTGCTGTCCCTGTGGTAAGTTATTAAGGACACAGAACTTACGATATCAAGTTAGTAAGTTTACATAGTTTGTACATATTTTTCATAAATTTTAGTTTTCTTTGTCAACATTGTTAACTCAGGTTTAGAGAAAAAATGTCCTGCAATGTTGAGCAATGTTAAAGCAATGAGGAAAACTATACTTAGTGAGCCTGTGTAACACATGAACCTTGAGGAAAGGCAAAAATTCAATATTACTTAGCAGGGTGCGCAGGGAGGAGGGAGGAGAAAGTTTTAGTAGTATCAGGGTATATGTCCCAACGCTTGTGAACTGCATTGTAGGTAAAAAAATCTCTATTATTAATAACAATTATGCAAAAATCTTCTTATTGGTTGGAAACACCAAATGAATATAGCTACCACAAAAATGTTGTATATATTGCTCTCTCTTACTGCAGGAAGCAAGAGAACAACTTCTTCTTGATTTTGTTGCATTCATATACAATGAAAACAATCCCAGAAGAATAGACATTGCCTTCGGTTTGCTTGGAAGTTTAGTTGAAAGTTCATTGGTCCCTTCCAGGTACTGAAACAAAATCAGTTTGCTTTTTAGAACTATTTTGTATTAACTGCTGCCTATGTGAGTAAAGCTTTTCATGAATAGTGCATAATTAAATGTCTAAACAAATAAACCTTGCCGTGTACATTTAGAACTACATGTACATGTAACTAATATGATAAATTTGAACTTTTTCCACTTCTGTGGCGCAGAGGTAATGAGTGATTTTTTTATAATTGTGAAATAGTTCGTATAGTATGATCATCCAGGTTAGGATAGTTCTGAAAAGAACTGTTGTTGGTGACTGATGTTTCGACAACCTGAGTGGAAGTCATCTTCAGAGTCAAGTGAATAGTTTTTGTCAGTCTATGATGTTATAAGTCTGGTCCGTTGAACATGATTGGTCAGTTTAGCCATGAACTACCCTCACCCGGACAATCACACTATACGAACTACTGATACTCCTGGGTTCAAACCATTTACTATAATTGTAAAATGTTAAGGATTTGTATACACTATTGGTCAGATCTAGTCTTGTTTTTGTACAAAATGAAAGTCGTTATATTATAGCTGATGTCACACCCAGTGTTGTGAAGCTGTAGTGCTCACTGTCTGTGTCACACAATAGATATAGCTACAAATAAGATCTCCCTTGTGCTTCTTTAAACACTTCATGTTCTTAAAAATCCCTGCATGTGTAACTAATGTACAACTCAATAATACACTAGCCAAGGTTGCATTTCTTCTCCCTTTTACTAACCTTAAATTGATACATGGATTTACCTAGGTTGGTTTGTGATGCTATTCTTAAGACACCTCATCTCAGTTTCCAGAGAGAACTCATGTGGTGTAAAACATTCCAGCTTCTTTTGAAGATTATTGGTGGTGTCGATTACAAGGTAGTCAGATATTATTACTAGTGACTAAATGCAAACTGATTTGTTTGTTTTTAGTTGCTCTTTATTAAAATCTGTGAATAAAAGTTGTCCTCCCTTCACATACATGTACGGGTGTTAATATTGTTACCTAGATTCACTTTATAGCAGCCAACATATGCCTAAGTTGAACTACTGTTTTGTAATCCACATTAAATAGAAGCAAATATGTAACATATTTCAAGGGTGTTATTCATTTACATGTGGTCCCACACAATTGTGAGAAGAACACTAGATATTTAAAGTGTGTGAATCACTTGCCTTTGGCTTGCAAGTGACAGTCTCTTCTTGGTTTCTTCAAAGTGGATTTATTTTTTATTAACACATTAAACCTGTTTTGTAGCAATGTGCTCTGAATATGTCCTGTGAATGTCATAGATTATATTTCATATTGCAGAGTTGTCGTGACATTTTAAGTTTGGTGTTTCAAATATTCCATACTATACCAACTGTTCCCGATGCTGCACTCACTGATCGTATACAAGCCTGTGTTAAGGTACTCTATTTACTGGGTAGTATTTGTTATAGAACAACCAGTTTCACCACAAATCAATAGAAATAGTAAAATTATCTTGGGCAGATTTGTANTTTTCTATTCTCTTAGGGCATTGAGGCAATTGAAACTGCATTCTGTGGGTAGGATATTAATTGTATTTATTTGTGATTTTTTTGTAAGAGCTTAAATATATATGGTGCAGAAAAAACATTAGATTTATCCATTTTGAACATTTTGTGTGCTTTATATGGCCAAATAGAGGTACCAGTAAATAAGTAATAAATCTAAACTTACAGGTGTCTAATATATTTACTTCACAAGGATGATTGTGCACAATGAAGATCAAGATATTAAGGATCTTTTCCAAAAGGTTTTTAAGCCTTTCTGGGTTGCTGTCCCTGTGGTAAGTTATTAAGGACACAGAACTTACGATATCAAGTTAGTAAGTTTACATAGTTTGTACATATTTTTCATAAATTTTAGTTTTCTTTGTCAACATTGTTAACTCAGGTTTAGAGAAAAAATGTCCTGCAATGTTGAGCAATGTTAAAGCAATGAGGAAAACTATACTTAGTGAGCCTGTGTAACACATGAACCTTGAGGAAAGGCAAAAATTCAATATTACTTAGCAGGGTGCGCAGGGAGGAGGGAGGAGAAAGTTTTAGTAGTATCAGGGTATATGTCCCAACGCTTGTGAACTGCATTGTAGGTAAAAAAATCTCTATTATTAATAACAATTATGCAAAAATCTTCTTATTGGTTGGAAACACCAAATGAATATAGCTACCACAAAAATGTTGTATATATTGCTCTCTCTTACTGCAGGAAGCAAGAGAACAACTTCTTCTTGATTTTGTTGCATTCATATACAATGAAAACAATCCCAGAAGAATAGACATTGCCTTTGGTTTGCTTGGAAGTTTAGTTGAAAGTTCATTGGTCCCTTCCAGGTACTGAAACAAAATCATTTTGCTTTTTAGAACTATTTTGTATTAACTGCTGCCTATATGAGTAAAGCTTTTCATGAATAGTGCATAAATGTATAAACAAATAAACCTTGCCGTGTACATTTAGAACTACATGTACATGTAACTAATGTGATAAATTTGAACTTTTTCCTCTTCTGTGGTGCAGAGGTAATGAGTGATTTTTTTTATAATTGTGAAATAGTTCGTATAGTGTGATCATCCAGGTTAGGGTAGTTCTGAAAAGAACTGTTGTTGGTGACTGATGTTTCGACAACCTGAGTGGAAGTCATCTTCAGAGTCAAGTGAATAGTTTTTGTCAGTCGATGATGTTACAAGTCTGGTCTGTTGAACATGATTGGTCAGTTTAGCCATGAACTACCCTCACCGGGACAATCACACTATACAAACTACTGATACTCCTGGGTTCAAACCATTTACTATAATTGTAAAATGTTAAGGATTTGCATACACTATTGGTCAGATCTAGTCTTGTTTTTGTACAAAATGAAGGTCGTTATATTATAGCTGATGTCACACCCAGTGTTGTGAAGCTGTAGTGCTCACTGTCTGTGTCACACAATAGATATAGCTACAAATAAGATCTCCCTTGTGCTTCTTTAAACACTTCATGTTCTTAAAAATCCCTGCATGTGTAACTAATGTACAACTCAATAATACACTAGCCAAGGTTGCATTTCTTCTCCCTTTTACTAACCTTAAATTGATACATGGATTTACCTAGGTTGGTTTGTGATGCTATTCTTAAGACACCTCATCTCAGTTTCCAGAGAGAACTCATGTGGTGTAAAACATTCCAGCTTCTTTTGAAGATTATTGGTGGTGTCGATTACAAGGTAGTCAGATATTATTACTAGTGACTAAATGCAAACTGATTTGTTTGTTTTTAGTTGCTCTTTATTAAAATCTGTGAATAAAAGTTGTCCTCCCTTCACATACATGTACGGGTGTTAATATTGTTACCTAGATTCACTTTATAGCAGCCAACATATGCCTAAGTTGAACTACTGTTTTGTAATCCACATTAAATAGAAGCAAATATGTAACATATTTCAAGGGTGTTATTCATTTACATGTGGTCCCACACAATTGTGAGAAGAACACTAGATATTTAAAGTGTGTGAATCACTTGCCTTTGGCTTGCAAGTGACAGTCTCTTCTTGGTTTCTTCAAAGTGGATTTATTTTTTATTAACACATTAAACCTGTTTTGTAGCAATGTGCTCTGAATATGTCCTGTGAATGTCATAGATTATATTTCATATTGCAGAGTTGTCGTGACATTTTAAGTTTGGTGTTTCAAATATTCCATACTATACCAACTGTTCCCGATGCTGCACTCACTGATCGTATACAAGCCTGTGTTAAGGTACTCTATTTACTGGGTAGTATTTGTTATAGAACAACCAGTTTCACCACAAATCAATAGAAATAGTAAAATTATCTTGGGCAGATTTGTACAAAATTTTCTTTAATGTTATTAATATTTTTACACTACTTTTGCTAATGACTTGGCTTGTAATAGCAAATGATTGTAACTCTTGTAATTACCCTGCAACTTACATACATGTGTACAGTTTTCACTTCATAATATGACAAATTATTGGCCAGTTTTTTTTATATTTAAATGCTAACAAATTCTGAGGGTTAGGGAACTTAAACAAAGGAAATTGTTTCATCATGCTGCAAACTCAGTTTAACTCCTTTTGTTGTTTCTCTAAAGCTTTAGAGCATGATGTTGGTTGAATTTAAATGTATCACAATTGGCCTGAACAGTGCTCAGCAAAACTGATAGCCTATAAGGATTAAATAGTAAATGAAACTTGTCACTTTACATTGTTCTTCTAATTCATACAGTCATGCACTACGTTTCTTTCTGGTTCATGTTTTTAGGTTGTGCGTTATATTCTGGACAGGAATGCTTGTCTATTGCCTGCCTACTTTGTTATAAATGAGGTACACCATTATTTTAAATTGGTTACCGAAGAGTGTAATTATTATACTTGTTATGTGTACCTAGAAACAGTTTTTAAAGAAAAGTGTTTTTAACGATTAGTTTTGTTTTAATTAAGAATAAATTATGGTTCTTGTGTAAGTGGCCATGGGAGGACTCGATGGGAAAAATAATAATTATTTGGCTGTAGGTCATGGCTTACAGACAAAGAGAAAAGAAATATTTCCTTATCAGCTTGACCCAACTCAGTAAGTAAGCATGGACATACTACAAACTTGCTGTTTGATGATGCTTAGCACTCAATGTGGAAGCTGCGGTATTCAGAATAATATTGTAACCATACAATGTACATTGTCCTTTGGATATGCTACATATGGTTGAGGTGAAGTGTACATAGTACTGACTTTATAGTAAACATTGCGTTTGAATTTGCAGATTTACAAAAATTATCCTGAGGGAAAAGTCAAGCCTCACTGGGTAATTATGTACTCAGGGATGGTACAAAAGCTGGACATTAAATGATGTGGACCTCAAGTCTAGGTCCACTATCTGTATCTCCTTCTGGGGATAGAATGAGGTCCAGAGAGGGTGTCCACCTGGGGGTTGGGACTCCAATATAAAAAGGATGGCAGTGCTAGTCAGAAATTTTGAAAAGAACCTTGAGAGGTACCAAGATCCTGTTTTGTGGGCGTGGCTTGAATTTTTTTATCCCCTTAGGGGTACCAATTCTAAAACAACACATTTTATCTCCTGACATATTTTTTCGGGTCAATACCCTAAATCAAAAGGTACTGCAAAAGCTCCTGCTGTGGACCTTTTGAGGCTGAACACTCTCAGAGGTACTAAAAAAATACCAAAGCCACGTTTTTAACCCCAAAAAAGTATGACAAGCACCCCCATCATTTTTATATGAGAGTTACCCCCTAGTGTCCATGCCTTGTGCCATCCCTTTTATCAAGGGAGGATGAAGGGTAAGAGCATTAATTGCCCACATATATGGAGGTGTCAACCCTGTGGTGCAGATTTTGTTCACGTGGGCATCCACTCGATGCACGTGGTAACATTATCCATAGAAAAGCTGAAACCTAACCCCATCCAGCACTGTATGCCTGCCACTTCTATATGGGTAGTACTGTAATGATGTGTTTTAGCACCTGGGGCACTTATTTTTTTTGGAACCTCAAGGGAGGGTGCTTATTTGAGACAGAGTGCTTATTCGGGACAGGGCGTTTATTTCTTTTTTGAGAAACAACCAAATGTTCTAAACAGAAACTGTAACAGTAACAAATATATGGTGAATGTTCAGTTAACGTGAGAGAATTTTAATCCTTTTCAACTCCCATAGCTTTGACAGTGTCACTTACAACTTACATTGATACGTAAAAAAATTAATATAGCTTTCTGGGGAGGCGTCTTTGACGTCCAATTCTGTGATGGTGCTGTAATATTATATAATATTAGAATAGGGGCGCTTATTGGAATAGGGCGCTTATTAATAAAAACACATTCAAAGGGAGGTGCTAAATCAAGTCATTACAGTGCCTTCCCCAGGTGATGGCCTTTCAATGAAATAAGGCCAGTGATAAAGCTACTGGGCAGCACTTAACATATATAGTTAGTGTCCTTTCTTGTAGTTAAACCATCCTATATGTAGATATCAGCAGTAGATGCTATTAACCTAGAGATTAGTAATTGTTGTTGTCGTGTAAAGAAATTAATTTTATGAAACATGTTTTCACATTACTAATTTTATGGCTGGTGGTTCCTTTGTTAGGCTATTGCAAAGTTACTTTCAGATTTCGTGGAAACATTCAGGCCTCTTGCCCGCATGGTGTCTGTGATAGGTAAGTATACCTACATGTGTACTTAATGATCTACATACATCTAGGCAAGTGTGTTCCAATCCTAGAGATAAGTCATGCCATATGGCTCATCTGTGCCAGTGCTTAATTCCAGTTTCCATATTTAATATTTAAGCAATAGAGCACTTTTTACATGTTAACATAACCTCATCTAAACACAAGGAGGGTTGGGAGAATTTGAGACAGTTGTGCAAACCCGAGACGTAGTCGAGGGTTGGCTTAACTTTTGAGAACTCTCCCAGCCCCCAAGTGTTTAGATGAGGCTATGTAAACATGGGAAAAGTGCTCTATTGCTTTTATAAAATAATTCTCAAAAATATGCGTGAATCTGAAACACAACCGTGTTTACTTACTCTCACCTAAACACACCTATCGACCAATGAGAGCCCACACAGTAGCTCAGTTATTTTATAATTATTTATGGAGTGTCTAACTGTTGTTACTCCCCTCTGAATGGCATGCTAATCAGTCACAGATTTCTGGACAGCATTGTTGTCTGGTTACCCTAGCAAGTAGTCTAATATACAGCTATTTGTACCTGTTTGACCTGCTGGGTGGAGAGAGGCACTGTGAAGCAATCCAATCCTGGTAAATGCAGGTGCCATAGTTGAGCAATTCGCTGAAATTTATTATTGAGTGGTCCATATTAACAGTCTCTAGGGCTTTAGGAATCCTTTAGAATTCTTATCTTCACCATGGACTAATTTGGCATTATAAAACACTGGGAATTACTCAGGAGAACCAGCAGTGTAATATGTTGGAAATATGAACGTTATCATGATTCTGAAAAAGACTGTTGTTGCTAATTTCAGAGACTGATTATGACTCACTCAGAGTCACCTTGTTTTGTCACAGCCTTTCCATGGCCATTCACACTTTGATGGTTATACTGTGACACTAAAACAAACTTCAAAACAGTACAGCCTACAGCAATGGCATGGCCTTTGTTAATAAGCTTATGTAAAGCTGGCATTTAAGGCTATTAGTTCCAGCCTGTCATGTATCCATGGTTTTCGTAGCATGAAGCAATTGGGAGTGTTAATTTTCTACTCTGCTTCTGAATGGGATGATAATCCATGGCAGGGTTACTATGATTATCAGTTGAGTAAGGCACAAGGGAGCTTTGGTGGCGAAGTTTTTGACTTAAAATTATGGTGTTGTTGTGCACTTTGCTGCCAATGATGTCAAAGGCCGACAAGCTAGTTGCCCCTGGAAATGGAGCCAGTTACTTGTGACAACAATGCAAGTTGAACATTAAAACCTGGTCATCAATTTTTTTTGCACCTTTCTCAACTGACAATCGCAGTATGCCTAATCTGTACCCATTTAAACAACTAGGTGGTGAGAGGAACATGTGAGAGCTACGCACTGACGCCAGTCAGGGGTCAATCCTGGATTGCTTTGATCTAGAGTCCAGCGCACTGAATCATTTGGCCACTGGTGCTCAGGCTGACAATTACATGTATAATTGTATCTATAACAAAATTCTCGATCGTGATTGGTTCTCTGTGTGCCTGTTTGCCACGTAATCGACGTGTGATCGCATGGGTGTCCAATTACAGGTATCCAATTTAAACTTTTTGTAATTGGATACCCACGTGATTCCTATGTCAATTGGGTGCACTTTAATTTCTTTGCAATGTTGCCTACAGTTTTCAAAACTTATGAAATGTGTTACCTACCTTTTTGCTCAAAAGAAGTTCTCAAAAGACATTTTTAATTCCGAAATTTGTTATAGATAAGCTTAATTAGTAATTGGACCTCTTGTTGTACAATTCAGGGAGTAATTGTGCTTGCAATTTCAAATCAGCCTTGCGCTTCATGCTCGTCCGATTTTGACATTACTTGCACGGTTACTCCCTGGATTGTACAATACTTGGTTCAATTACTAATACAAATTTTATATGTACTTTGCTAATAATCAAAGAACTATAATTACATTGCTCTTTTGTGTGCTCTTTTCACCATAGGTCGCCCATCCCTTCTTCCCGTAATTGGTCATCCTGGCTCATCCATTGGTGTCTGGAAACTAGATCCTAACACACTTAGTTTCCCTCTCAAAGGACTTTTGCCATATGACAAGGTAGCGTAAAATAACATGCAACTGTTAATTTCTTTTTTACAGTGCCTTTAACCCTTTCAGTATAAAGTTCAAACTTGAAATTCTCCCTACTTATTACCACAATTTTTTTCTATGATAGTTCTAAGAATCTGGTGATATATAATAATAATAATAATTGAAGAAGCTAGTCATAAAAGGGGATAAGTGACGATTTTGGTTGCTTTTCTTTTCTTTTGCTCCAAATTAGCTGAATTTTTGCATGTGGTCTTCAATGTAATAGAAAAACGTGTCCCTGTATTTTTGCCGCTGGTTTTTGTTTCGTTTTATAAAGACGCTGCTAGGAAAACCGAGTGGTTTTTTGCATACGCAACATCCCGAAAACGAAGCAAAGTTTAGCGGCAAAACTACGGGACATTGCTAAACATACCTAAACAAAACTGCATGCGAAATTTGGAGCGTTTTCGACAAAGTTCACTTTTGATTAAAATACCTAACGCCNGTGCACTGCCGTGAGTTAATTTTGTTTTGTTGTCAGATAACATTATCTTGCCGTGAGTTAAGTTTGTACTGCTGTGACTTTTTGTTTTGCCGTGACAGTTGTGGGCCACCGTAAAAATCTAAAATTCTAAGAAATTACAATTCTATTCGGATTTTAATAAAAACGCTTTAGAAAACAAATATGTTTTAAGTTTGCCTTTAAAATCAGTAACAGTGTTCACAGATCTGATGGCCACAAGAAGAACGTTCCAAAGTTTTGGGCCTGCATATGTAAAAGAGCGATCACCCAGTGTTGCCTTGGATAACAGCTTTGGATAACTAAGGAGGAGGCTGTCATTAGAGCTTCTTAGGTCATACCGTGAAGTTGATTTGATACTAATTAATGAATCTACATAGGTAGGCACCAAACCCTTAAGAGCCTTAAATGTAATTAAAAGAATTTTGAACTCAATACGAAACTTCACTGGGAGTTAATGTAAATCAAAAAGGAGCAGTGTAATACGGCAAAATCTGCTTTGCTGGCAGATCAGTCTAGCGGCAGCATTCTGTATTCTTTGTAGCTTGTTTATACGGTAGTCGGGAAGTCCATACAAAAGGCTGTTGCAATAATTAATCCTAGCAGTGATAAACGCATGCACAAGAGTCTCGATACACCGTATATCATTATACATGACGGAATTTTTGATCTGTTTGGACCACAAATTTGTTTAATGATATTAATTCTTTGTTTAACTTGCTTTATGTCACTTTTGCAGGATTTGTTGGATCCTCAAACTAAACTGTTACAGTATGTCATTGCTCAGCCATATTCCCGTGATGTTATCTGTACCATGTTGGGTCTCAATAAACAGGTACTGTTGTTATATTTCTAACTTGGTAATGAAACACTGTTTTTTAGGCAAAATTAGGGTTAATATGCATTGTGAAATTCTCACTCTATGTTAGTTATTATTATTAACTACTTATTAACCGAGAGTGAGGTCTTTACTGGAAAATCTCAGCCCAAGACCTTGCCATATTGACCGAGCATTAGCGAGGGCAATACGGCAAGGTCGTAAAGACTGAACATTTGAGGTTAATAAGTTGTTTATTATATGGCTTTTTGCTTAGTTTTTGCCTGTAATTGGCCCGTGGGCATTACAGGAGAATAATGCCCTACAATTAGCCAATCGGAGTGTGCATTATATCGGCTACAAGAACAAGCCATATAATAATATTTCTTAATGGTCTGGTCTTAGTGGTTACACAGTGTAATGAATATATTATCATGTAAAAACAAAGGACTAGAAAACTATTTCTTTTTGTCATTGTTCTCTTGCCCACTACATACTGTGGATATCATGACCATTTTAGTGCTTTGTTTTTCACATTGCACGGGAGGAGGGTACTCACCAAAACATCGGGTAAGGGTTGGTTGCTGGACCACAAAAACCCTTGCCTTGAACAAGACCAAGGACCCTGTTCCAGACTAAATGCCGAAGAAAGATACCCTGTTCCAGCTGAAATAGAGTAAATAATCCTATTCCAGACCATTTCCATAAGAAATATAGTTGTTATTGAACATAGATGACAGGCAAAATCTACATCAAATACCACATGTCAGATTCATCTGCTTGAATGAAGATCTGTCATGCATGTAACTACCACCATACAAAAGACTGTAGGTTTCAGAGGTCTGAGAGAAAAGCATGTTGATTTTCAGGAAAACAATACCCTGTTCTAGATCAGTGAAATTTTTTTTATACTCTGTTCCGGACTGAAATGTTTGAAAAACATACCCTTTCTAGCGGCACATCCCTTGTGTAGCCCATAATTATAAGGGAATACCCCCTTCCCCACCCTGTTTCCAGTAAAATATGTTGGTAAGAGCTAACTAGTGCAAATCTCCAAATATGTTTAGGAAATCAAACACAGTTCAATAGTTTAAATCCTTAATCAAAACGTACATTTTTAAACTAGCTTTTGAAATTTGATATAATTTTTGGAATTTAGGATGTGATGTTCCTTTGATCATTGCATGTTAAAAGGCGCAATATAAGACAGTTATTAATTATTATATGAAATTGCACTTTTTACTTGGCTGCATTTCTAAGGAAAGCCTGCTAATAATTATTCAATGTAATAGCATGGAGTCACATCATAGATACTTATTATCAGGGACTTACTTCTTATTCTATTATTTAATACTGGATATTCCTTTTTCAGCAAAAGCAAAGATGTCCAGCTTTAGAAGAGCTGTTAGTTGACCTGATAGTTGTTGCCATGGAAAGATCAGAGGAGAATGAAGCCAGCATGAGTGAAACAGGATGTCAGTTGCTATGGCATCATTTGTCTAGCCACCTTATTTTCTTTGTGCTTTTCCAGTTTGCCAGCTTTCCACACATGGTCTTGTCTCTCTACACTAAGGTACACAGCTCACCCATGCCATATCAGTTTCCAAGACAGAAACCACACTTACTGCACCTTTCAATAAGTTGTGAATTCTGAAGTTCAGAACCTAAGGATTGCAACCCTCAAACATGACTTTTGAACAGGGGTTTCATTGAGGGCCGGGCACTGGGCAAATTGACTGGCCGTGAGGACGATTTTGCTTGGCAGGTTTGACCATCTAGTGGAAAGTTTTTCCTACAAAGAAGTTCAGGTCTAAAAGTTTTGCCCACCTGTGAAAACCAGTTGCCCTCTTGCTGAAAACGTTAATGAAACCCCTGCCTTTTGAATCTCTTAAAAGTGAACTTCTGTTTCCTGCAAGGTCCTCTAAGATTGTTGATGACAGTAAAAAACACAATTTTACCCTTGTTTGAGTGTGTTTCATGTTATTGAAAGGTGCAGTTAGCTGTAATACTTATCAGCTATGCTCAGCAAAAGTTGAAGAAACGTAAACTTTTTTAGCCAATACTTCATGTCCATCAGCGGGCTGACGTGATGTAGTCGATAAGTGCTAATGAGTGAAAAACTTTGCATTGAGCATTAACTCCAGAAATGATGTACACATATATGCACCAGACAGGTCAAACAGAAAATCTAAGCCTCAGTGTTATTTGAAATTGTGATCTCTGGAACCAAAGACAGTACTTCAATCCTTGCCCAATTCTTGGCTCAATAAATTGAGTGATGAGATCAGACAATAGAGCAAAATGACACCATTTGGAATACCCAGACGTGGAAAGCAATTTTGTTACTTTTCTGAAATATTTAAACCTCATCAGACTCTTCTCTACCATTAGAATAACTATTTGCAAAAGAAATAAGTCTAATACTTTTTTCAACTTCTGCTGCGAACTGAAGATTTTGTTCAATCTTAAGTATTGCTTTAAATTGACCAAACTGTCACCACCACCCCCCCCCCGACCCCAATCCCCAAGTCTAATTCTTTCAAGTCTAATTCTTTTTGAGTCATACATGTAAGTTTCATTTTGCATACATTTCTTCTTAAATGAGTAGTTTCCTTTTCTCTTTGATTTGCAGCTAAGTGGAAGAAACCTTAAAAAGGGGAGGGATCATCTCATGTGGGTTCTACTGCAGTTTATTTCTGGAAGTGTCCAGAAAAATCCTGTAAGTAGACAATAGTAATCAATATTATTGACAATGCTCTTGTCATTTTAAACTTTGTTACAGAGTAGTTTGCTACAAAAATTAGTTCTTTATTTATTTTTGCTAATCAAATTTGTAGCAAGGAGGTATTGATAAGTGTTAATCTTTAATATCACATTTTTATTTTGTAGTTGAGTGATTTCCGACCTGTAATGAAGTTGTTTGATTTACTTTACCCTGAGAAACAGGTTTGTGTAGATTTGACACAAGTCTCAGTTGCTTACTTATAGCAGCTGTATTATTTATAACTAATTCAAGATGAAAATGAGAGATGATTGTGGGAACTAATTCTGTTCGTCTTAGGAGAGGTGAATTATTTTAGTCTTGACTGCTGTTATCACAACTTTACTTAGCACAATCAACATGAAGCAATTCAAAATATTTAACAGTATTCTTGAATAGTGGTGACCCTGTTTCAGTTTTGGTATGTACACTGTACAGGCAAGGATTCATCAGTTGGGTGGCAAATTAATACCTAGACCACACTTGATTAGCTACAGTATTGGAGATGTATTTGATAAAAATCAGGTCTGCTTGCACCTTACTCTGTGTACACTGTTTTGCACCTGTTTATTTAACATATTTTGGTATGTCACAGTCTGAGACTTATTAACCTTTTTCTTTTGTTCTGTTCCAGCCATTGCCACTCCCAGACATAACTGTGGCAGATTCAGTTCACTCATTAGCTATGGCCTGCATTTGGGTTCATTTAGCAAAGAAGGTAAAACTCCACTTTCAGATTTAAATCTTTGACTATATTCTTAAAATTCCTCTCGTTATTCTTTATACTGACTTTCCCAAATTAACTAAATGACTGTAGCAAGCTATTCATTTATGAAATCTGCAATAATTTTGATCTCATTAGAATGAAAAGCCAATCAGTCAATCTTTTATTCATATTTCTAAGGCCCAGTCTGAGGATGTGACTTGGAGACCTGCTGTTCCTCACACACTTAAGGATCAAATTGAGTAAGTTCATATTTTTTAAACGCTTTTAATGAGATATCTATTACTGAGAGCAGAATCAATGAAATACAATCCTGATGGTATTGGTATTCTATGGCTCCTTTTAGGTGTTACACTATTCTATTTTTCTTTTCAGGTTTATACAAATGTCTTCTAGAACAGCTGCAGCTAACTCATTCTCCTTGACAAATTACAAGATTCCTCTTCTTTGTAATGCCTGTAAGTATATCAAACATAATGTTATCAAATAGCATACATTTCATGACAGTCCCTTTCATGCTCACTGAATAAGAGATGGAGAAATGCGACTGTGCTCGAGTGAGTTGAAAGTGTAAAAGGATAGGGAAGGGAGGGATGGGAAACAAGAAGCGTGATAGCGAGGAGAAGCAAGCGAGAGGGGAGACAACATGTTGCGGATGCTAACAGTCATAGGATTCTTACGTGAATTGGGCTGAAATGGGATGTAGAGCTCTTATGTATGCTCACTTAGTAAGGAAATGGAGCAAATGGTCAATCAAATGTTCACCCAACCAATCATCAAAAGCTTCATTTTGCATTTTTCTTAATGGAGAGTGGATAACTAGTTTGAACTCAGTTGGAGTACTAGTGTTGTTCAAAGTAAATACTGACATAAGAACAGCCACCCACTTTACTAAGATTTGTTTTAGACTACACATGTGTTGGCCCACTATCTACACAATCCTCTGTAGGAAAAAAGGGGGCAATTGGTACATTTACCTATAATTCTTTAACAATGCTCACAAAAGTGTACAGAAGAATTCTAAAATCTTCAAACCTAGCCTACACAATGTCGTTAGCACAGGGACAAATATTTTAAAAATTTATATGGCTTTCCTTGTACTTTATGGGCTTTGCAAAGCTCGCATGGTATTGTGGTAAAATATACAGCCACCATCTTTTCATTCCTGTGGACACTAGAACAAGCTCTCAAGGTACAACTATTCTTTCAACAGACAGCACCAACCCAGATTGTTTCACTGTACCAATGGCTGTGCTGGTTGAAATGTGTTATGGAAACAACAAAGCAACAACACAGTTACCTGGCCCATCAAATACACTTGCTGCAGGGCCTACAGTTCCATGTCCAATGAGCCTGTTAGATTCACTCACTGTGCATGCAAAAATGAGGTATAGCTCTTCAAGTATTACATGGATGATTAAAGGTCTTGTTAAAGATTTTAGCCCTATAAATTTGATGGTGTCTTTGGGTGGCATGTTGGTCTAATGTTAATCAAATCAGACTCTGCATCTCAGAGCCTGGGTTAGATCTATTGCTTGCCAGCCAATTGCAGGGATCTAGTTACAAAAGTTGTAATTGGATAGCTGTTATTGGACACCCATGTGATTGCACGCCAAAGGGACAAATAAGTGCCCCTGGAAAACCAATCACCAATTTTGTTATAGATACGATGAAGGTGATTCCTTAGTATTGCATTGCGCATCCCTACTGCCCACGATTTTCGGGTCATTAGAGCACGCACATGAGCATGTGTGCGTACAAAAGAGATTTCCCTCAAACTAAGCTCGATAGCAAAATAAATGCTCCTTTTCTCTTTTTGAACGAGCACGGTGACCCCCACTTTTTATTTCATAATTTCAATGAGAACAATATCCTCAATAATTGAGAAAAAAAATTAGCAGAAATCTATGGCTACTTTTTTGGCAAATGAAATAAATACTACAGAGGGAGACATAACGGGCCCAACAACGCATGTCCAAAT